CATCTGATGCAGCACTCCATCACTCTCCTTCTTGGTCAAATAGCCCTTACACAGCCTGGAGGTGTGTTGGGTCATTGTCCTGTTAAAAAACAAATGATAGTCCCACTAAGCCCAAACCAGATAGGATGGCGTATCGCTGCAGAATGCTGTGGTAGCCATGGTGGTTAAGTGTGCCTTGAATTCTAAACAAATCACAGAAAGTGTTACCAGCAAAGCACCCCCACACAATAACACCTCCTCCTCCATGCTTTATGGTGGGAAATACACATGCAGAGATCATCCGTTCACCCACACCACGTCTCACAAAGACACAGCGGTTGGAACCAAAAATCTCCAGACCAAAGGACAAATTTCCACCGGTCTAATGTCCATTGCTCATGTTTCTTGGACCAAGCAAGTCTCTTCTTATTATTGGTGTGCTTTAGTAGTGGTTTCTTTGCAGCAATTCGACCATGAAGGCCTGATTCACACAGTCTCCTCTGAACAGTTGATGTTGAGTTGTATCTGTAACTTGAACTCTGTGAAGCATTTATTTGGGCTGTAATTTGTGAGGCTGGTAACTCTAATGAACTTATCCTCTGCAGCAGAGGTAACTCTGGGACTTCCATTCCTGTGGCGGTCCTCATGAGAGCCAGTTTCATCATAGCGCTTGATGGTTTTTGCGACTGCAACTTTCAATGTTCTTGAAATGTTCCGTATTGACTGACCTTCATGTCTTAAAGTAATGATGGACTGTCGTTTCTCTTTGCTTATTTGAGCTGTTCTTGCCATAATATGGACTTGGTCTTTTACCAAATAGGAATATCTTCTGTATACCCCCCCTACCTTGTCACAACACAACTGATTGGCTCAAACACATTAAGAAGGAAATAAATTCCACAAATTAACTTTTAAGAAGGCACACCTGTTAATTGAAATGCATCCCAGGTGACTACCTCATGAAGCTGGTTGAGAGAATGCCAAGAGTGTGCAAAGCTGTCATCAAGGCAAAGGGTGGCTATTTGAAGAATCTCAAATATAAAATATATTTGGGTTTGTTTAAAACTATTTGGGTTACTACATGATTCCATCTGTGTTATTTCATAGTTTTGTTGTCTTCACTATTATACTACAATGTAAAAAATAAAGAAATACCCTTGAATGAATAGGTGTGTCCAAACTTTTGACTGATAGTGTACATTCATGAGTGTCCTATTTGAGGGGTACAGCAGTTCTATGCTCATTTCGCCAACCTACACTACATGGCCATAAGTATGTGGACACCTGCTCGTCGAACATCTCATTCCAAAATCATGGGCATTAATATGGAGTTGGTCCCCCCTTTGCTGCTATAACATTCTCCACTCTTCTGGGACGGCTTTCCACTAAATGCTAGAACATTGCTGCGGGGACTTACTTCCATTCAGTCACAAGAGCATTAGTGAGGTCTGGAACTGATGTTGGGCGATTAGGCCTGGCTCGCAGTCGGCGTTCCAATTCATCCCAAAGGTGTTCGATGGGGTTGAGGTCTGGGCTCTGTGCAGGCCAGTCAACTTCTTCCACACCGATCTTGACAAACCATTTCTCTATGTGCATGGAGGCACATGCTGAATCAGGAAAGGGCCTTCCCCAAACTGTTGCCACAAAGTTGGAAGCACAGAATCGTCTAGAATATCATTGTATGCTGTAGCGTTAACATTTCCCTTCACTGGAACTAAGGGACCTAGCCCGAACCATGAAAAACAGCCACAGACCATTATTCCTCCTCCACCAAACTTTACAGTTGGCACTAGGCACTCGGGCAGGTAGCGTTCTCCTGGCATCCACCAAACTCAGATTTGTCCATCAGACTGCAGATGGTGAAGCGTGATTCATCACTCCAGAGAACGCGTTTCCACCACTCCAGAGTCCAATGGCAGCGAGCTTTACACCACTCCAGCCGACGCTTGGCATTGCTCATGGTGATCTTAGGCTTGTGTGCAGCTGCTCGTAGTGAGTGTTGGAACCGAGGACAGACGATTTTTACGCACTATGCACTTCAGCACTTGGCGGTCCCGTTCTGTGAGCTTGTGTGGCCTACCACTTCAAGCTGAGCCGTTGTTGCTCCTAGACGTTTCCAATTCATAATAACAGCACTTACAGTTGACCGGGGCAGCTCTAGCAGGGCAGAAATTTGACAAACTGACTTGTTGGAAAGGTGGCATCCTATGACGGTGCCACGTTGAAGGTCACTGAGCTCTTCAGTATGGGCCATTCTACTGCCAATGTTTGTCTATGGAGATTGCATGGCAGTATACTCGATTTTATATACCTGTCAGCAGCGGGTGTGGCTGATATAGCCTAATCCACTAATTTGAAGGGGTGTCCACATACGTTTGGCCATATAGTGTATCTCCTGGTTCAGACTTGCCTGGTGTTGACTAGAAACAGAGTGTCATAGACAGTGTCACTGTAAAAGTCAGCTAACTGTAATAACATCTCTGCTTTGATCAGGACACCAGCCGAACACCCAACACTACCTCTCCTATTCCTAGAAAACATGCGCCCAGTCGGTTAGATGTATCAGAACAGAAGTTATGACATGAATACTGTCTGTACATTAATGTACTGCATTCATCTTGGGGGCACATTGGACCCCAGTCTATCTCTGTAACACCCATGTGCATCACCTCCTAGTGTGTGTGTGTGTGTGTGTGTGGTAGGGGTGACAAACTGACTTAGGTGCACCAAGTTTGTCTGATACTGGCTTCTCTGTCAGTCATATAACTTTATTCCCTCTCTCTCTCCCTCTCACACCACCTCTCCAGCTGATCAATCCATTGTGTGTAATGAATATGTCCTCTAACAGCCCCTCAGATCCAGTGTAATCCAGCCACAAGCCTCTCCTTAGGGCAGCTGGTGTTGTTGGGATGAATGGAGAGACTCACCTAAGTTAATAACAGTCAAGAGTCAGGATTACTGTCAGAGTGCAGCCGGAAGACCGACAGGACAGATAGGGAGTGGAGTGAGTGTTGATCCATGTGATCTGAATTTAGCTTTAAAAAGAATCCAGCGCTGACGTGGTGGGATATAGAATGATAGATGGTCAGTAGTATTCTGAGGGGGTTGGATTCGATTAAAGCAACTGTCCCAGAGTAGGCCTAGTACTGTGTTTTGTGTTATTGCTGTAGAATGGTTCTATCCTTCAGTACGTACTGTAAGGCTTTTGGTGCAGTCAGCGCATGCGGAGACAGATAGGGTGGACGGGACTCGTACTAACCAGGGACAGCAGGAACACTGGAAATCAATTATCACATTCTGTGTTTACCTGGCCCCACTGAGAGGCCAGCCAGAAAAGCTCCAACAGCATGCTGGGTTAAAGCCAAGTCCCTCAGCAGACAGGGCTCTACTTAGAGAGGATCTCTTGGCTAATAGTAGAGGGGAGTCAAACTCCCAACACTCACACACACACACTCACACACACACACAGGACCAGAGAGGAACAGGGGCCTCATTTATCAATCGTGAGTAAATGTCTCACTAAATTCTGGGGTACGTGGAGATTCTAGGATTTGCACGCACAACATATTGAGATTTATCAAACTGTCTCATGCAACATATACACATGTTTTCATTGATAAATCAAAGGCATACTATATTTGTACCGTCGTAAACGAGCGTTACAACCCTGCCTGGAAAACGTCCTCCATTCACCTTTTATGATAACAAAAATGCCTTTGCTGTATGATTTGGAGATGTTGGAACTAGGCCATTATAGTTTCTAAAAGAAAGTGCAATGGCAAATTTTATCACATGTTTGTAGAGGTGTGGGCAGAATGTATTCATCTTTTGCTGTGACTTTTTCAAACTAAAATTGCATGCTGCCTATAGCGAGTGTCAAACACTGGCTGCCCATTCTGCAAGATTGAATGTCTATTTGAACAATTTAAAAGTAAATGCTACAGCCCACACTTTTATGCAAAAGACAAATTGTTGTTAATATTTTGTTTATCAATACATTATTCTGTTTCTATCTCCTGCCTTGGCATAGGCTCTGAGATTAAATAGGCTATGATGTCACGCTCCTGATAAATGGTAGGCTAATATTTGTTGTGTAGCGGTAATAAACCCGTCATGTCAGAAAAGGAGCGACGTCCTGCAATATTATTATGATTTAGGCCTATATAATACAAGTTAAAGAAACATATTAGGCTACATGCTGCTATGCAATCTCCTTACCAACAGCAAATGCTGTTTTATCATTAGGACTAGGTTGTCATGTTTTTCTTAGCCTACCATTATTTTAATTCCTGTGCATAAAACACCTTAATTTCCCCCGAAATAACAATATTTGCTTGCAATAGAATTGATCAACCACTAGAAGTTGTGCGTACGCATGGTCTGAGCTGTGCGTGGAGATATGCACACATTCCCTCCAAGTTCAAAAAGTATAAATACCAACCTTTGCAAGAAAAGTGGCACACACAAGATTTAATATTTTTTGTGCACACGCACTTTTGATAAATGAAGCCCCAGGACCAGAGAGTTGCATCATATCATTATAGTACAGTGTGTAGAAACCATTAGGAACACCTGCTCTTTCCATGACATAGACTGGCCAGGTGAATCCAGGTGAAAGCTATGATCCCTTATTGATGTCACTTGTTAAATCCACTTCAATCAGTGTAGATGAAGGGGAGGAGACAGGTTAAAGAAGGATTTTTAAGACTTGAGACAATTGAGACATGGATTGTGTATGCGTGCCATTCAGAGGGTGATTGGGCAAGACAAAATATTTAAGTGTCTTTGAACGGGGTATGGTAGTAGGTGCCAGGCGTACCAGTTTGTGTCAAGAACTGCAACACTGTTGTTTTTTTTAACGCTCAACAGTTTCCCGTGTCTATCAATAATGGTAGACACGGGAACTGTGGGAAGCCTTGGAGTCAACATGGGCCAGCATCCCTGTGGAACGCTTTCGACACCTTATAGAGTCCTGACGAATTGAGGCTGTTCTGAGGGCAAAAGGGGGTGCACCTCAATATTAGGAAGGTGTTCCTAATGTTTTGAACACTCAGTGTATATGACTATGACCATTAAACTCTCAATCTCAATGACAGTCAGGAACATCTCTGTTGTCTCTCATTTGTCTTTTATAAGGGAATCAATATAAATCCCAGTGTGCTCTACTTTGGAGTTTCTTCTTAATGTCTGCCATCCTATGACATCCCAGGTTTTGTAGTTCTATGGGTTCCGAGGCACAGTCGGTAGGGAGGGTGGGCAGGCAACGGGGAGGAGTCACACCACCATGTGACTAGTGTTTTTCAAATCTCCATTGCCACGTGGGTTTGCATGGTGAGGACCCCCGCCCCTCGTGCCAGGTCCTGCGTCCTGCTCCACCTCATCCTCGGGGTCCATCTGCTCACTCTTCTTCTTGACGTAGCGTTCGTACAGCACCATGACCACCCCGATGGCCCACGCCGACACCGTGCCCGCCGCGAAGATGACGAAGCCGATGGCGATGAAGAACAGGTAGTCCCATGAACCCAGGCCCTGGTGGCACCGCGACCGCAGCTGCATCCCCAGCTCACCCAGACGCTGCCCCCGCAGGTCAGGAGGACCACCGCACACCGTCTGGCCCTCGTCTGGAAGAGAGAACACAGCACAGGTGGGGGTTAATTACAATACTTACATAAGTCATACTAGAACTTGCATTGGTGACACAGCAGTAAAGGCCTGTCACTAGCTGTAATGAGTAGAGCTCTGAGTTTTTCTTCAGCATGTCACCTGACCAGTAAAAACTCTGGGTCCTAGTTATAGGCTATACTAGTACAGACTGTTTTTCCTGGTCAGGTCACATGGCCAGGAAAGACTCCGGGCCCTAGTAGTCATTGCAATTAGTACTGAGCCCATACAGTATTACCAACATAAGAACAACTTACTGCTACTATTATTATCGATTCCCCAACCAATAACTTGAGCATGACTCTTAGGACTAGGCCTGCTAAGATTACATTTTTTTTTTCTCTATAAAGCTGATGTGGCAAATATTCTAAATCAGATGCATTAGTCAGCACTCTGCATACACATAATAATAATAATAATAATAATAATAATATAATGATGGAAATGATCTTTGAAGTGTTGCCAGTGTTGGGTAGCACGTAGGTTACCCACCCAGGGAAAGTGATATCAATATTATATTTCATCAAATAGAGATCTCTGGCCTGTTGAATAATTCAAACACATTACATTATATAGTTTTACATAACCTTCATGAGAGATGGATGACACACACACACTCCCTACTGAAATGTCTTTCCATTTGCAGCTATAATACAAACTACCATGTAAGAAAACAGTACCTGCTAACTAGTTTTTATTGCTAGATATTGCTGCACTGTTGGACATAGAAACATAAGCATTTCGCTGCCCCTGTGATAACATCTGCAAAACTGTGTATGCAACCAATAAACGTTGATTTGTTTCCCTTATCAGAAAATAACAGAATAGGAGCTACTGCCTGTTATTGTTGTGTTGATATTACATTACACCAAATTCAAGGCTTTTGAATAATTCAAGCACATTTCAGCCCTTCTGGATTTCACTGGGTAATTCTGTCTTTTGTGTCTGACTCATACGGTACAGTTAGCGTGGCTTTTCTTCTTCTAAGCTGCATGGCTCCAGCAGGCTCCTAGTTGGATCATGACTAAGCCCCTCACTCACTCAGAATTCATGAATCTCAATAGAAAAAGGGATGTTTGTTTTGAATGTCAGAACAGGGAATTCCTGTTCTGTAGCTTCAAAGACCTGACTGACAGGTGACACATACTGTGTGGGAGAAGAGGAATTTAGATAGACTACTATAAATGTGTTTTGGGAAGTAAATAGTTTGATACAGTATGTTGGTCTAATAACAGATGCTATCGATCTAATGATGCTAATACTGTGTGTATGGCTGCCTGGGTATCATCTAAAAGTCCTGGTTTGTTAGGGGCAATATTGGGAAGAAGAAAAATGCTTGCAATACCCAGAGTATTGGAGAATTTCAAAGGACACGCTTTAATTTGCTTTTGTTTTCGTAGCTTTTTGTGTTGGGGGATCTCTCGGGATGAGATCAAAGGGCTTTTGCTTTTTCTGCCTGGCTGACATGCTGTGCTCTGCTCTGTTCTGTAGTCTGTGCTTCGTTCCAGCAGACTTTGCTCATGCACTCTTTTCACTTGCTTATTTTGCATCACAGAATCTGTGCAGGCAATATTTGTCCATAAATTGTGCATGGATGGACTTTCTGGGGAAATTGAGACATATGTTGTGCTAGTTTCACTCTAGAGACATTTCAAATCCTTAAGTAAAAATCTGAGTGGAGCTACAGAGAATGAAATTATGTACACTACCGGTCAAAGGTTTTAGAACAACTACTCATTCAAGGGTTTTTCTTTATTTTTACTATTTTCTACATTGTAGAATAATAGTGAAGACATCAAAACTATGAAATAACACATATGGAATCATGTAGTAACCAAAAAAGTGTTAAACAAATCAAAATATATTTTATGTTTGAGATTCTTCAAATAGCCACCCTTTGCCTTGATGACAGCTTTGCACACTCTTGGCATTCTCTCAACCAGCTTCACCTGGAATGTTTTTCCAACAGTTTTGAAGGAGTTCCCACATATGCTGAGCACTTGTTGGCTGCTTTTCCTTCACTCTGCGGTCCAACTCATCCCAAACCATCTCAATTTGGTTGAGGTTGGGGGATTGTGGAGGCCAGGTCATCTGATGCAGCCCTCCATCACTCTCCTTCTTGGTAAAATAGCCCTTACACAGACTGGAGGTGTGTTGGGTCATTGTCCTGTTAAAAAACAAATGATAGTCCCACTAAGACCAAACCAGATGGGATGGTGTATCGCTGCAGAATGCTGTGGTAGCCATGCTGGTTAAGTGAATTCTAAATAAATCACAGACAGTGTCACCAGCAAAGCATCCCCACACCATAACACCTCCTAGACCATGCTTTACGGTGGGAAATACACATGCGGAGATCATCCGTTCACCCACACCGTGTCTCACAAAGACACAGCGGTTGGAACCAAAAATCTCAAATTTGGACTCCAGACCAAAGGACACATTTCCACCGGACTAATGTCCATTGCTTGTGTTTCCTGGCCCAAGCAAGTCTCTTCTTATTATTGGTGTCCTTCAGTAGTGGTTTCTTTGCAGCAATTTGACCATGAAGTCCTGATTCACAGTCTTCTCTGAACAGTTGATGTTGAGATGTGTCTGTTACTTGAACTCTGTGAAGCATTTATTTGGGCTGCAATTTCTGAGGCTGGTAGCTCTAATGAACTTATCCTCTGCAGAAGAGGTAACTCTGGGTCTTCCATTCCTGTGGCGGTCCTCCTGAGAGCCAGTTTCATCATAGCGCTTGATGGTTTTTGCGACTGAACTTGAAGAAACTTTCAAAGTTCTTGTCTTAAAGTAATGATGGACTGTCGTTTCTATTTGCTTATTTGAGCTGTTCTTGCCATAATATGGACTTGGTCTTTTACCAAATAGGGCTATCTTCTGTATACCACCCCTACCTTGTCACAACACAACTGATTGGCTCAAATGCATTAAGAAGGAAAGAAATTCCACAAATTAACTATTAACAAGGCACACCTGTTAATTGAAATGCATTCCAGGTGACTACCTCATGAAGCTGGTTGAGAGAATGCCAAGAGTGTGCAAAGCTGTCATCAAGGCAAAGGGTAGCTATTTGAAGAATCTCAAATCTCAAATATATTTAGATTTGTTTAACACTTTTTTGGTTACTACATGATTCCATCTGTGTTATTTCATAGTTTTGATGTTTTCACTATTATTCTAATATGTAGAAAACAGTAAAAATAAAGAAAAACCCTTGAATGAGTAGCTGTTCTAAAACTTTTGACCGGTAGTGTACCAAACTATAATAGCACAAGGGAAGGGCCATAATATATCATGATTTACATCAAATGAATACTTAACTAGTGTTCCATTGTAGAAAATCACACAATGTATTCTTGATTTGTCTTAGCCTACATCACAACTGACCCTTTGCTCTCTGTCTTTGATTATTTAAATAAAGGCAGTGGAGATGCATAACCCAGTAAATAAGCGCGTACATCACTAGCAATAGAGTTAGGGACAACAACAGAGACAGGCCTAGATCTCCTGTTGTCTCCAAAGACATACCATTTTGTCTTCAGATGCCCTGAGAGTTTGGAAACGAATTTAGCAGCACAGATGTGTGACACACACATGAACACACACACATGCACACACACCACACTACACTTGAACAGTCCTCTGATCTAGCTAGCCTCAGAACTCCTGACACCACTACAGTAGCACTCCTTTCAATAATAATAACAATAATAACACACTACCCTCCTCTTTCCAGTGAATACTAAGTACTCCTTCCACTTCGCTTCCTCTACTTAGCTAGAGTTCATTCTCTCTCCAAGGCATGGAAGCCCCCGGGCCTCCCTGTCACCCCCGTTAGTGGCCGACATCAAAGGAGAGGCTTCCTCTCCCCGTCCCGTCCGCACACCATGCTATTTCTAGCGTGTCTCCGTATATAACTACTAACTACAGACAGCATGCTAATCTTTAGGAGGCGAGACAGCAGTGGAGAATCTGTTAGTTCCTTCTGTGAGTTTTTCTTCCCTTCTTCCTTCTATCAATGCATTATTTCTATTATTTTTAAAATTCTTTATTTATTTTTATTCTATTTCTATTTCTGCTGAGACAACAAAAAACAGACGGTGCCTCTCAGAACAGGTGAGATCCAGACGGCTGATAGTGACGATCAAAAACAAAGCATCTCTATACACCTTCTGTCCTTTTGCTTTATACAGTACCCCCGTCTGAGTGAGTCCCGTGTGTGCGTGAATGTGTGTGTTCTCCCTTTCTGGCAGCTGTCACTGGAAAGGACTCCGCTCCAAATGAAAGCAGACAAAGGCAATAAGCAGCAGGAAAGTAAAACAGCAGGAATAGTTTACAGGACTAGTTTAGGATTCTGCCTGAGCTGCAGGGGAGAGGATGATGAGCTGGTGTGTGTGCGCGTTTGGCAGGGGATGCTTGTTAGTAAGTGTATCATGGTGTGACTGGCTCTTGCTCAGCGAGATGCACTATAAATAGCTACCCTTTTGTGTATTGACACATCCCAAAAAATCAGGGAAGACTTCACTCCAAACTGAACAAAGCATAAATCTGATATTCAGTACATTCATCTGTCAAGACACAAGAATACAACAGAAAAATAATCAATCCTTATTCAAAACTAATTTTGCTGCATAGTGTAACCGACTGGATTTGAACCCAAGTCTATTGTGCACAACACGATTGTTAGTCCACTGAGCTAAAGGCCTAAGGCACTAACTGAAGTCTTCAGGTCTAAGGCATGGTTACTGATCACATGAACGTGGTTCCCTGAGCCACATTCATTACATATAGACATATACACTGAGTATACCAAACATTAAGAACACTTCATAATATTGAGTTGCACCTCCCTCCCACCTTTTGCCCTCAGAACAGCCTCAATTCGTCGGGGCATGGACTCTACAAGGTTTCGAAAGCGTTCCACAGGGATGCTGGCCCATGTTGACTCCAATGCTTCCCATAGTTGTGTGAAGTTGGCTGGATGTCCTTTGGGTGGTGAACCATTCTTGATACACACGGGAAACTGTTGAGCGTGAAAAACCCAGCAACATTGCAATTCTTGACACAAACCGGTGTGCCTGGCACCTAGTACCAGACACCGTTCAAAGGCACTTCAATCTTTTGTCTTACCCATTCACCCTCTGAATGGCACACATACACAATCCATGCCTCAATTGTCTCCAGGCTTTAAAAAACGTATTTTACCTGTCACCTCCCCTACCAACTACACTGATTGAAGTGGATATAACAGGTGACATCAATAAGGGATCATAGCTTTCACCTGGATTCACCTGGTCAGTCTATGTCTTGGAAAGAGTAAGTGTTCTTATTGTTTTGTATACTCAGTGTAGTTTGTTGAATAAAGTGTTTCCGGTTGGTGGGGCATGTGCAGGTGGATTCACTGGTCATTTCACGTCTAGACACTGTGGGTTTTGGGATTAGGCCTTAATTGCATGAGTGAATAAAGGAATAAGAAAAGGTTCCTCAGTACGTGTCTCATTTCAGTCGTGTGTTATTTGATTGTCTTCAATTGCTGTTAGGTTTAGCCTCCACTGTCACCTGTTTCAAGACTTATCCTAGGCCCCGTGATGCAGGCAACCGTGCAGGAAATATATACAGTAAAGTAATACAGGTAACTGCCAAAACAAAGGAAACACCAACATAAAGTGTCTTAATAGGGTGTTGGTCCACCACGAACTGTCAGAACAGCTTCAATGTGCCTTGGCATAGACTCTACAAGTGTCTATAAACTCTACTGGAGGGATGCGACACCATTCTTCCTCAAGAAATTCCATCATTTGGTGTTTTGTTGATGGTGGTGGAAAAAGCTGTCTCAGGCGCCGCTCCAGAATCTCCCATAAGTGTTCAATTGTGTTGAGATCTGGTGACTGAGACACACACACACACTTTAAACCTCCTATGCTCCTTTAAGACACCTCTTTCAAACTCACTGAGATAAATGTTTCTAACCATGGTAGCCAAAATAATGAGCAACTGGACATTTCTATACATGACCCTAAGATTTATAACAGTCTTAAATGTCTTACTGTTGAGGTGTAGTAGACCTCATTCATGAACTCATAATGAAACACGTAGTGAGGAGATCAAGAATGCACTTTGTGCACCAAACAAGAAGATCAGGCGCAGCGTGCTGAAGAAGAACCCTCTGAAGAACCAGAGATTTTCTAAGCTGCTGAGACGACGGCAGACAGTGCCTCTCAGAACAGGTGAGATCCAGACGGCTGATAGCGACGATCAAAGAGACTGAGCTTGGAGCTTAAAACACAGCATGTGGTTATGAAAGTGAAATGCTTTCAGTGAGCATTTCAGGAGAGTGTGAACATGGAAACATTCCTTCAGAGAGGCCTGGGAAATGCAGAGCTGGAGAGAATGGCTGTCCTCTCCTACTATTGGTCCAGCCCCTCACACTGGCTTAGTCCATCCATATTTTATATCAATGTGTATGATGTTGGTATTAGTACAGCATATCACAGAATATAATCACAGTACAGTAGTACACTTTTAGTTTACTCAACATTTCAGTCAAACTGTTACCTGAACTTCAAATGTTTAGTTGGCACAAATTTAGCTACAACTTCAGAAAACTGTTTAGGGACACTCACACATTCAAATAGTGCTTTTACATTTACATTACATTTTAGTCATTTAGCAGACGCTCTTATCCAGAGCGACTTACAGTTAGTGAGTGCATACATTGTTTTATTTTTCATACTGGCCCCCCGTGGGAATCGAACCCACAACCCTGGCGTTGCAAACGCCATGCTCTACCAACTGAGCTACATCCCTGCCGGCCATTCCCTCCCCTACACTGGATGACGCTAGGCCAATTGTGCGCCGCCACATCGGTCTCCCGGTCGCGGCCGGCTACGACAGAGCCTGGATTCGAACCAGGATCTCTAGTGGCACAGCTAGCACCACTCGGGAGGCTTTTAACATACATGTTCACGTTCATTTATACAGTAATTACTATTCAATATGTTCTATCCTGGGATATGAACTCACAACCTCTTGGTTCAAAGCATTCCTATCTTCCTGCTACACCACCATGTCTGTGTCAATGATTGATTTCACCAGTATTCCTACAATTTTCACTTTACACTAAATCTCAATTCTGTTAAAAGTACACTCAAGAAAAACTATTTTATTTTATTAATTAAGGAGTAACATTAAAACAGAAAACTCTAAAATAAGTAAATAAGTAAATCAAATCAATGATGAGAGAATAGTCAGATTAACTGATAACTGACACAGACATGGTAGGGTAGCAGGACGATTGACATGCTGTGTACCAAGAGGTTGTGAGATCAAATCCCAGGAAAGGACCCTACAAATAAACATGTACAATGTCAAATATGTAAATTGAAAACATTGTATGTTAAAATCACTGTGAGTGTTCCTAACCTAATTTTGGTGTAGGCTTATGTTTTCTCAAGTTGGAGCTAAGTTTGGGCTAACTAAAAATGTTACCAGCAGGTAACATGTTGACTGAAAAGTTGAGTAAACAAAAAAAGGCTGTGGAACCAGTTACTAAATAATTATTAGTTGAATCAACTAGATACTTTTTTTTACAGTGTGTATCCTATTATGGGACTGCACATAATCTCACACAAATGAGAACGATTATAAGCCAAAACCAGAAAATTTAAACCACAAAGAATAGAATAGAATATGGAACTATAACATTCTATATGGATTTGTATTTCTCTCTGAAGGCGCATACAGTTTTACCTTGAAACTTGAATCCCTCAATGTGGACCCAAAGACAGAGGTCTTCATTGTCGCAGTCGCAGCTCCAGGGGTTCCCGCTGAGGCCGACAGAGCGCAGGGTTGGCAGCCCGATGAGAGAGCTGATGTTGAGCACCGTCAGGTTGTTTCGGCTCACGTCCAGCACCTGCAGCGCCGAGTTCTCCGCGAAACCGTCTGGGTGAATGTCCGACAGGCCGGGGTTGTCAGTCATCCTCAGCATCACGAGGCTGGACAGCGGCCCGAACGTCCTGTCCTCTATCCGCGTCAAGGTGTTGAAGGACAAGTCCAGGTAAGCAAGCTTCCGCAGGTTCCCGAATGTGGACTCCGAAATCTCCGTCAGTGAATTGTTACTACAGTCCAAATACACCAAGTCCGACAGGTAGTTGAGCTGAAGCGGCGGAAGCTCCATGATACGGTTGTTGGAGATGATGAGCTGCCGCGTGGCCAGCGGCATTTCGGTGGGGAAGGTGGTGAGGTGTTGCCCGGCGCACTGGACCACCAGCTGGTCATCGCACACGCAGCGGGCCGGGCATCCCGCCGTCAGAGCCGGGGACGGGGCCACCCCCATGACGAGGATCAGCAGAATGATGAGCCGCAAGGATTGCGCGCTGGGCTGCGGGGCAAGACGCATCACACCTCTAAGGGCTTCATCAATTCCGTTTGTACAAACCACCCACTGGGCACAAACGTCAGTTCAGCGTCTAGTTTTGATTTACATTTGGTTGAGTTGTCAACTAACGTGAATTCAACGTGGAATCAACAAAACATTTCACCATGTCATTCAATTTAGGTTAGAAGTTGGATGAAAAAAAAACGAAATCCCTTTATGTTGATGACTTTTTGCAAATCCAATCAGTTTTCCACGTTGATTTGGTTGAAATGACATGGAAACAACGTTGATTCCACCAGTTTATGCCCAGTGGGCACGCCGTCGCATTCTTCATTGATAGCACATGCCCTCTGCCAGTTATCAGTTAATGTTAATGCTATTAACCAGGCCTATTTAAAATTATCCAATTATAGTTACCTGATATTGAGGTTTGTTGTTGGCCACTTGTCCTCGCAAGTTGTCATTGTTGTTCATTCCGAGAGCCGCCTCACGTTTGGGTTCCCGCGCGTATCCATTATAGTGGGCCTGGAGGACTCCAGACGCCCGAGCTCTCCTCTCAGTTCCAATTCTCTGGTATTCGATTTGGTCGATTAGAACATTTTTCCTCCAGTATCAATCATTTTTGCGTAACAACTGCCATTTGAACTCACTATGCAGGAGAGTTCATTGGCGCATCGTAGCCCAGTGTTATAATTGTATTTTGGTCTCCTGCAAGCGTGGTGGTGTGACTGCCCTCTGAAACTGAGCCACGAATGAGAAGGGGGGCGGGTATGGTGTGCTCACTGCTCACGCGTTGGATCGAGTGTGTGAGGAGAGAGAGGAGCTAAAGAAAGCATTAACAACTGGAGTCAAGCTGTCACACAAACTAGAAGAGGTTGCCTAATTCTACCACTGTACCCAAAACGTTCTAGAAATAGAATGCCCAGGTTGTAGCCAATTGTGACACTTTAATGACCCAACAGAATACTCTATTTATCTCAGTTTATTAATAATAATAATAATAATAATAATAATAATAATAATAATTCATTTAATTTGTAAAGCGCTTTTCTCAGACCCAAGGCGCAAAAAAAAAAAAATACTACTACTAATAATAATAATAATAAAAAAACAATCCAAAACACGGAACATAGACAACAATCAAAGCTATATACACGTGTCGCCAGATCCGAAGGACACGAGAACATAATTTGTAAAAAGCTTTTCTGAACAGCATTGTCTTGAGCTGTGCCTTTAAGGAGGGACGAGATTCTGCAGGCCTAATAGTGTCTGGAAGTGCGTTTCACAGCCGCGGAGCCGCGCAACTGAAAGCCCTGTCACCCATAGTTTTTAGTCTGCTGCTGGACTACTGAAGGGAGACGGACCTGGAGGAGCAAAGGGTCGCGTGTGGGGCAGGAGGGTAGAATGAGGTCAGACAGGTAAATGGGTCCAGAGCTTTGGATAGCTTGGTAGGTGTGAACCAGGATTTTGTAGTCGAAGTGTGAGCATATGGGGAGCCAGTGATACATTTATTTCATTGATACATTTATTAAATGTATCAATGAAATGACCTAGGGCCTATTTAAGATTAGGGTCATTTCACTGTCATAAACTGTCATGTGTCTGTCCGTTTTAGAAATAGAGAAAGAGAGAGAGTGTGTGTGTCATGTTCCAGTCTCTCTCTCTCTCTCTCTCTCTCTCTCTCTCTCTCTCTCTCTCTCTCTCTCTCTCTCTCTATCTATCTGGTGAAAGGACATATGTGATGTTGGAGAGGGATGACAGTCAACAACACACACACACACACACACACACACACACACACACACACACACACATGCACAGTCTTGTACAGCTAACCTTGTGGGGACACACAATTCAGTCCTATTCAAAATCCCATTTTCCCTAACCTGTACTCTAACCCTAACCTTAACCCAAAAACCTAACCTTAACCCTAACCCAAGCTCCTAACCCTTAACGTAATTCTAACCCTAACACTAATTCTAACCTTAACCCTAAACCCCCTAGAAATAGCAGTCACATTTTTGTTCATTTACTATTCTTGTGGGGACTTCTGGTCCCCACAATAATAGTTAAACACGTCCACACACACACACACACACACACACACACACACACACACACACACACACACACACACACACACACACACAGCATGCCAGTCAACAACTGATAATAACATCAGAGACAGTGCATGAAATCAAGCCTTTATCCAGAACAAAGAGGCATCAAAAATCTGAGTGCGTTTATTCACACTTCTCATAAGGGGATAGTCACAATCCTTTCTTTGAGACCAGTCTCAAAGCTTCTGCCATTCTGAAAGTGTACTTTGGCTGCTGTTTACTGAGAATATAGTGCCATCTAGTGTGGTATTATTGTTAAATCACTACCTCTTGTAAGACAGGATTCCATTCTCTATGATCAACAGATAGAATGTACATTGAATGTAGGGATTCAGTTGTTTACATTTGATATTGAGAATAATTAAATGAATTGATTCATTTTTTACCATAATTGTCATTTTAGTATAATATAGAATTTCGCCATCCTAATTATAATGAAATGGTATGATATATACTGTACTAGACTCAGACCCGTCGCCAGACCTCAGTCTTAAGGGGGGCATATGAAATGCATGGGAGGGCAGGGCACAATTATTATTAGCCTACAGTAACGTATATTTAATAATAAATTCTCAAGTGGGGGGGGGGGGGCACAAGATTTTGGGGGCGGGCCCGGCCCTATGGCCCGCCATAGCGACGGGTTGACTAATGAACAAATCACCGATGAAACAAATTACTGGGGAAAAAACACCTGTACATGACAGAGATGATAGTTAACATGAATGGACTAGCTACTCTATTCATGCACGCTTATGCAGGTTCTTCAAGTCTGGGGGACGAAACACCTCTGTTTTCATCCTCTCTTTATCAGGGGTAATCAGACTGACACCAGGTGAGTGCAATAACTACCAGGTAGAAATAAAAAACAGAAGTGTTTCGGCCCTCCAGGACCGGAATTGAAGAACCCTGCTTTATGGTCTGGTGTAATTACCTTCTGTTTAGATAAGAGCCTAGAAGAATAAACACTATGAATGGGACTCTGTAAATGATAGGCAAAACTGGTTCCAGACTGATGGCTGCCATTTTCATACTTTTCTGGAACGTTGAGGGTTTATGACAGCCTCTCTAGTAATTTAATAGGATCTCTATGGCTGTGAGTCAGATATGGCCCTGTTTAAACTCTTTAGGAAGTTGCACACTCCCCCACCTATATTATGGTATGGCCCATGAACTCTACCCCACTAGGAGAAAGCGCCACGCCTCCTGTGTGTTTATATGTGACTCATCTACGCAGGAGCAGACGAGACGGGATTACTGACAGCAAGAATAAGAACAACTTTCCATTGGGCTGCAAAAGTGCGAACATTATTCAGATAATCATTTACAGGTAAATACCGTTTATTTTACAAGTGGTATTCAAAATGATGTGTTGTTGCTGGATATAACGCTGCACTCCTAGTTCTCCATTGGCTTGACCTTGTTTTGGGAGCTTTTAGCGCACACAATTCAACCAAGTTCAATCCGGGACACTCAAACTAGTATGATATGTTAAGTTTGGTATAGTTACATAAGACAGAAGGTGACTTAAGGCAAAAAGTAAAGTTGGGTGGTTAGTCTGGTTTACGAATTTATGTTTACTATGTCGACCCCTGAGTGCAGGTTGAATCAAGGGGTAAAACTTTGGTAAGGGAAAGGGTTTTGAATAGCCTGGTCATGCCATACAATAGGCTACAATAGACATAATAAGCACATGTCATATTTGCATAGAAGCCTATGCTCCATGGCAGTGTAATAGCTTCTGGTTTCGTGTAATGTCCTTTCATGTAATTTAGGGCCTACTAACTAATCTGTTGCCTGATTGGATTGAACTTTCAACCAGTATCTTATCTACAGTGGATGTGAAAGTGGGATGAACCAACTCACCTATTGTAGGCTATGTATTTTTACAATTTACCTGTAGGCTATGCATTTTTCTCTTGCAGATCAGTGCCAGGATGGTTGTGCTGTCTAAGGAATATGGGTTTGTGGTTCTCACTGGTGTTGCCAGTATAGTCATGATTGGCCACCTCGCCCTGAAAGTTGGCAAAGCGCGCAAGAAGTACAAGATCAATGTGAGTGGCCCAGGACCTGGGATCGCTAAATGGATACGGCTTACCATGTGACCTCATCTGACCAGGAAACAATTTCAGCCTAAAAGAAGGGCCCAGTGTTCTTAACCTCACTAGTAGGCCTACTGTGTGTTTGCTAAGAAAACCTCTCTGTATGGTTTACCTAATCTTCTTTTCTCTTCTCTGTTGGACAGTACCCTCAGATGTACAGCGATGACCCAGAAACTGGAAATATCTTCAATTGCATCCAGCGGGCCCATCAGAACACGTATGTAGTAATACTATAGTATGTACATGTAGTATGTAGCTGACAGTCAGCAGAGAAAACACAATATGTTTTCACATACAAAGTAAAAATGTCTTGTTGGATATTAGGTCCACTAATAGCTATTATTTATTTACAGCCTGGAGATCTACCCTGCTTACCTCTTCTGCCTTGCCATCGGTGGCCTGCATAGTCCTGTAAGTTGACTTCCATTTATTAATTTACTCTGTTAGATTTGTATACCGTGCATGCCAGACTGTATAGCTGATTAGTCAAAGTATATGTCTCTGCAATATTAGATTCCCATTCATTCATCCTTAAGAGTCTAAGCCGGGGTTTTACGATGATCATACCCTTTTAGCTATTTGATTTGGAATTTTAGGACCCCTTTAGGTATAAAATACAATTATTTGATGAAACATTGAATTTGGCCTTACTGCTATTAGCCCATAGAAACGCATTGAATAACAGATTCATTTGTAAAAACAAATAGTAAAAAATAAATCAAAAGGAAGTTTGTTTTAAAGCACCTGTCCTATATCTGAGAGATATAAGAAAGATCAGAAAATAATGTAAGAAATATCTTTACCCATATTTAACAATTTTTTGGGGCCACTAAACTACTTCCATATATACTTCCATTAATTATATTAACTGATTCCGGTCTACCTTCAGACGAGTCTTGTGATGCATGTGGGCGTCCTAGAGCAAAACATTAGTGTGTAGCCCAAACTGTCCGGACACTACAGACAGAAGTTGGCAGATCGGCGGTACCGACTTAAGACGAGTCCTGTGACTAGTCCTGTGACACTTGTGGAGGGTGTAGAGCAAAACGGAGAACACCATCATGTTTGTGAGAGTCATCTTTCCATAGTGGTCATATTAGTTAGTAGGCCGAACCTCGGACGCTACAGACGTTTTTGTGAGAAGACCGATTTTCGGGATGTCTCGTGGTCTGACAAACACTGCTGTAGCTCTGCCACCTTCCACCACAGATGTGGAAGACCGCCATTGGCGAATGCAGTGGATTGAGACACAGACCATGCTTAAACACAGATTTTGATTGGGATTATTTTATTATACTAACTAGATTTCCTCGTGGACATCGACTTTAGGGGGTTTTAAGGCATTAAGAATATTTTGTAGTATACCAACAGGGAACCTTGTGTGTTACAGCGCCTAGTCAGTGGTCTTGGAATGACATGGGTTATAAGCAGGGAGATCTACGCATACGGATACTCCACTGGAGGTAAGACAACTGATAGATATGCTTATAATCCAATAGTTGATTAAAACAATATGGCAGCCATTACTCAAGGGTTTTGTTCTATGTTATCCTTCCAGATCCTAAGAAAAGGATGCGCGGGGCATTCGGGAACATTGCTCTGCTGGGCATGATGCTGATCGTAGCCAACTTTGGCAGAACACTGTTGGGCTGTGGTGACTGGGTGTGGCATGGGATGAGACCAGGGATGAGGTTCTCAGCTCCCCTTCCCACTGCCATTCCTGCTACCATTCCCCAGTGAGGTACTGCAACCCCATCCGACCCCACTCTAATAGTAGTAGGATGTCCCTTGTGGGCATCCATACTTGTTTATGGCATACGTAGAAAGACAGTGTTTAGTAAACGTGAAAACAGACGACCACCGCTGTTTGTGCCTCATTCCATAACTACACTACCCCAACTCCTCCCTGAACCCTGACCCACAACTGAACACTGACAGGCCCAGAGAAGCTTCTGCAATGAACAACAGAGGAGGTGCATGCTTCACCACGTTGATTAACCTATTCTTTGTGAGAGTGTGATGTTTTGAATGCATATATTTGCCAAAACTGTACTCTTAATGAAATTATAATGTATAAAATGACCATGGGAAATGGTGCTTGAAATAAATATTAAATGTCTTTATTTGGTTCTGTCATGGACTTGTTTTAATGCTGGTATCCATGGGGATGTGTGCTTTAATGCTGGTATCCATGGGCGTGTGTGAGATATGTGTAGGTGTTCGGTGTATTAGAAAAAGGCTGCCAAGAGGTTAATAATGTGTGAAGGGTGTGTGAGGGGTGTGGTTGTCCTCGTTGATCTGAGCTGCATAGTTGTCCAAAGTTCACACACCACCTCTAAGTCTACATGCAGGCACAAGAAACGCTCTACTATTACCTTAGCCATTAGGCAATTTCTGTCCATGATTAGTTTAATTGTACTAAGTAACAATACAATAACTCTCTGAACTTGTGAATCACTCATATGATGAAGAGTCAAAAGCACACAGCTAAAAGGGTTTCCGTTGTATTATCAAAAAATTGAACAAGTCCTTAAAACATACATTTCTTAAAGTTAACCCTGCAACTGTATATCATCCTACATCACTTTTGGCACTTAACATGTAAATCACGAGAGACACTTCAAAACACTGTAAATATGAATTGTTACAGTGCTTGACAAAACAAGTAATTTTCAATCTAGATGTGACTTAAAATCTCATAGTTCTTAGACACTGCTCTGTTTCTGCATTTTAGTATTTACAAATTTAAAGGATCATTTTGTGAGACATATCAAGTGAATAGTTAATAAATATGTACTTGACCATTTCCTATGTATTTTAAACAAATAGTAAGTATACATTTTGCATTCACATTTTGAAAATACTCAACTTTTTCATCATTTGTGTTTCACAAAGTTCCTTAACCGATCACTTTCACATGAAAGCACCACTGTGTGACCACTGTTGGTGAACCCAACCTTTCACCTCAAAGTAGTCTTTAAATTTGATTAAACTTTTTAGATATGGTTTTGAATCAAGTCACCCTTATTGGAGGTGACCCCCTTTCTGTCACTACACTTCAAACAAATTCACTGTTTTATTGACTGTTTTGCTGACTGTTTTGGGGTTACATTTACAGAATCTTTACTGGTTATCATGCAAGTAAGACCAAGGATGGGTGTTTTTCTAAACTCAATCCCTTGTTAAGACAACCCACTAGGCATTCTGGTTTGAAAGAGCATTTCACTCATGTTTGGCCAGTTCAGGGATTATAATAGTCCCATAACATGGTTTTCTGGAGACTGGTGAACATTTAAATCACTTAAGTACTACTACAGTACGCATCTTTCACTCCCTGTCTATTTCCCCTCTATCATAGATATTGGCAACAACATCAAATGTGGTATTGTGTTTTCTTCGTACAGTACCAACTCATTTGGGACTCCACTTCCACTGATATCCCCTAGAGGGCACTGTGACTGTTTCTATAACACATTAAAGTGCAGTCTGTGCTGTGCATGACCTGTATCAGGAGGGGGTACATTACAAAGAACAAAACAGACCTCTGTGCAGATGAAACATCAGAGCTTCAAAGGCAATAATGATGGTTGGCCTAATGTTGAACCGGAACCTCTGATGTTGGCTTAATGTTGAAACGGAACCTCTGATGTCCTATTGAAACACCTGATTGGGTATTTAATGCCTTCTCATTGTTAACAGAATACAATCAAATTGGAAACTGCTCAGCAGGGGGAATCATAGTGAGCCAACATGGGCGCTGGCTGAGGGCCTCCAGTCCAGTCAAAAGCTTTGCCAGGATCCAAAATGGTGGCCGATTGGGTGTCTGCTGTGTAGCTGGGCTAGAAGTAAAGTTGACTGTTGATGAGAGGTTTCCATCATCAGTAAGTGTATCTGGAAAGTGGTGTGTCTTCCATCAAGTCATCCTGGACAGGAAGACAAGACTAGGACGAGTTAATGTTGCAAAACACTATATCACTTCAAATTCATCGAAATCATATACCCCACATAAAATGACATGCCATAGAAGACCTGAATCTAACATGTCCAGTACAGTATGCTCACCATGGGTAGATCCTGCAGCCGGTGGAACTCAGGGTGGTCGGTCCGTTGGCGGAATTTGAGGAAGAGGCCAACAGAGACTACGGCTGTGGTGACAATAAAGATAGAGACTAGGCTAGCCAGCAAAGGGTCCAGAGGAGAGTGGAGGTGTGGCCCTTTGTCTGAAACAAAATGTCAATTGATTTGATTGATACATTGGCTAATTTGTTGTGTCATTTGTTAACTGGATAATCAGTGAATTAGTTGATTGGTTAATTGGTCAATTATCACCTTACCCTCATCTTCAACGGTGAGCTCTGATGGAACCTCCTGGTGAGGCTGGGCCGGCAGGGGCAGGAACGTGGGCTGGGGTGGAGGTCTTGGGGTGCTCCGGGGTGAGGGTTTGGGTTGGGTCAGGGGTCAATGCTGGGGTGCTGGGTTGGACAGAGGACTGGATCGGTGTTAAAACATGGGATGGAGGTGGGGTGGTATCTAAAACAGGAGGAGTAGAGGTGGTGAGGTGGCCTCCAGCGGGGCCAGGATAGGTAGTGCCCCCTAGGGTTGAGGGGTGGCTAGTAATGTCCCCTAGGGTGGAGGGCAGTCCTGCAGGGAAGGTTCTCTTTACAGGGGATGAGGAGGAGGAGCAGTCTGGAGCGGCTGAGAGAAAGTCACAGAGAAATAGAATTACAACGGTATTATACATTGAGTGTACTAAACATTAAGAACACCTGCTCTTTGCAGGACATAGACTGACCAGGTGAATACAGGTGAAAGCTATGATCCCTTATTGATGACACTTGTTAAATCCACTTCAATCAGTGTAGATGAAGGGGAGGAGACAGGTTAAAGAAGGATTTGTAAGCCTTGAGACAATTGTGACATGGATTGTGTATGTGTGCCATTCAGAGGGTGAATGGGCAAGCCAAAATATTTAAGTACCTTTGAACGGGGTATGGTAGTAAGTGCCAGGCGCACCGGTTTGTATCAAGAACTGCAACGCTGCTGGGTTTTTCATGCTCAACAGTTTCCCGTGTTTATCAAGAATTGTCCACCACCCAAAGAACATCCAGCCAACTTGACAAAACTGTGTGAAGCATTGGAGTCAACATGGGCCAGCACCCCTGTGGAACGCTTTCGACACCTTGTAGAGTCCATGCCTCAATGAATTGAGGCTATTCTGAGGGCAAAAGCAGTGGGGTTCTTAATGTTTTGTACACTCTGTGTATATAAACTGTATTACATAGTGTACATACAGCATCTCTAAAGAAGATACAGAGAAAGGTTCTGCAATGCCAAGCCTTTTTTCATGTACCATCATTTCATGTACCTGATGTCAGGTTTTGGCCATGACTGTTCGGGTTTTGGTCACTAGATGTCCCCATTGCACCTTTTTTGTACCTTTTTGTTTTTTCTTGATCTAATTATTGTTTGCACCTGTAGGTCATTCCCTTGTTAGTATTTAAACCCTGTGTGTTCCTCAGTTCCTTGCTCAGTGTTTGTAAGTTAGCACCCAGCCCCAGCCCAAGCCTTGTGTTATATGGATATTTCTCTGGTGGGATTTTTACCACTTTTTGGAGTTTCTTTGTTTTTTGGAGGTTTTCCTCTTTGTGCCTCTTGGCTTTATTTTTGGACATTGTGGATTTAGTTTCTTTGCCTGAGGATTTTGTTCTTTATTAAACCACCATCTCTAGTACTGCTGTGTCTGCCTCATCTTCTGGGTTCTGACAATTATTAGTGACTGTTTCTCGCACCGGGTCCTGACAGAAACACTGAGCCATTATTATGAACCCAGAGGCAGCCAGTACCCAGGATTTTTTTTCCATGCTGTCCCACCATGAGGGGACTGTCCAACGCCACGAAGCTGCTCTGGTTCAGCAAGAGGCCTTAATGGCTAGACATTCTCAACTTCTGTCAGAGATGCTGACTTCCATAAAGCAGATTTCGGATCGACTTTCCCCGGCAACCGCTTCTGCTCCAGTTCATCCGATTCAAGGGCTCCTGGCAGTTAATCCCCTGGCGGAACCTCGTCTGCCGCCTCCTCAACGGTTCTCAGGGGACCCAAGTGTTTGTAAGGGGTTTTTCACCCAATGTTCTCTCTCCTTTGAGCTGCAACCATCGTCGTTTCCCACCGACCGGTCCAAGATAGCATATATCATCACCCTGCTGTCGGAAAAGGCTCTAGCCTGGGCTACTGCTGTGTGGGATGCCCAAAGTCCCTGCTGTGCCAGCTACTCTACCTTTGCTGAAGAATTCAAGCGAGTGTTTCAAGGTCCTACCAACGGCCCTGACTCAGCCAAACAGCTCCTGACTCTCCGCCAAGGTCGGCGCAGCGTGACGGACTATGCCATCCAGTTCCGCACTGTGGCAGCAGCAAGTGGCTGGAACGACGAGGCGCTCACAGTGTGTTTTTTGAAGGGTCTTTCTGACACCATCCAAGATGAACTGGCCACTCGGGAACCACCGGACAACCTCGAGTCCCTTATCAAGTTGGCTTCACGCATAGACCAGCGTCTGAGAGAGAGAGAACAAAACCATAGACCGCTCACCCTAGTTCCTATCGGTTCCAACACCGAGTCTCCACCTTTATCCTCGCTGGCTCCACCAGAACCCATGCAGGTTGGACGCATCTCCCAGGCTGAGAGAGACCGCCGGATGAGGGAGCGATGCTGTCTATATTGCGGCAAACCGGGTCATTTCCGCTCCACGTGTCCCGGGCTCCAGGGAAACGCACTCTCCCGTGCAGGCCTGGGAGGACTGTAACGGGAAACATAACCTCCTCCCATCCATCCAACTCCCGCCTGCTCATTCCTGTTACCCTTTCCTGGGACGACCACGAGGTTTCTCTTCAAGCCTTGGTAGACTCTGGAGCCGCAGGTAACTTCATGGATGGGATCTGGGCGAAGGAGAATGGCGTTCCTTCTGAACCTCTAAGTGACCCCATAAGGGTTACTACGTTGGATAGAAGTCCTTTGGGATCTGGACTTGTCACTCGTGCCACTACCCTCTTACGACTTTCAGTTTCCCAACACAAGGAAGTGATGAACTTTCATCTGATCGCCTGTTCCGAGTTTCCTCTCGTCCTTGGCTATCCCTGGCTTCACAGCCATAACCCTCACATCGACTGGTCTGTGGGCACTATCAAGCAGTGGGGTCCCACGTGCCAAGCCACTTGTATCTTCCCGAGTTCCCAGAGTTCTCCTTCCGAGTCTCTAGAATCCATCGACTTGTCCCGAGTTCCCGAGTGTTACCATGACCTCAAACTGGTATTTAGCAAACAGAGGGCCACCAAACTACCACCCCATAGACCTTACGATTGCACCATCGACCTGTTGCCGGGGACCTGCCCTCCCAGGGGTCGGATCTTTTCCCTTTCTCCTCCCGAACGAGCTGCTATGGATACCTACATCAAGGACGCTCTGACAGCAGGCCTCATGCGTCCATCTACCTCGCCGGCGGGAGCAGGGTTTTTCTTTGTGGCCAAGAAAGACGGCGGATTACGACCTTGCATCGACTACCGGGGACTCAATGCCATAACCGTCCGTAACCGCTACCCGCTACCTCTTATGGCCACAGCCTTTGAGCTGCTCCAGGAAGCAGTTGTCTTCACTAAGCTTGACCTGCGGAACGCATACCATCTTGTGCGGATCAAACCCGGGGACGAGTGGAAGACCGCTTTCAACACGCCTACTGGTCACTACGAATACTCGGTGATGCCCTTCGGCCTGACCAACGCTCCGGCTGTGTTCCAAGCGCTCATAAACGATGTGCTTAGGGATATGCTTAACATCTTCGTGTTTGTGTACTTGGATGACATCCTCATCTTTTCGAGCTCCCTTCAAGAACACACTAAGCATGTCAGACAAGTGCTCAAACGCCTCCTAGACAGCCATTTGTACGTTAAGCCGGAGAAGTGTGAATTCCATTCCTCTCGAGTACAATTCCTGGGATTTATAGTGGAACCCGGACGAGTCCAGATGGACCCCAAGAAGGTAGAGGCGGTAGCGGATTGGCCCACCCCCAAGTCCGTTAAGGAAGTTCAACGTTTCCTGGGCTTCACCAACTTTTACCGCAAGTTCATCAAGAACTTCAGCTCGGTGGCAGCCCCTCTCTCGGCGGTAACCAAGGGTGGCAACACAAGGTTTCTGTGGGGAAGAGAAGCTGAGACGGCCTTCCAAGGACTCAAGCAGCGCATCCTCTCTGCTCCCATCCTGACACTACCCACGGCGGAGGAACCTTTTGTGGTGGAGGTAGACGCATCAGAGGTTGGGGTTGGAGCTGTCCTGTCTCAGAGGGGTGAAGACAAGAAGCTTCATCCTTGCGCCTTCTTCTCTCACCGGCTTACCCCGGCCGAGAGGAATTACGATGTGGGGGACCGTGAACTCCTAGCGGTTAAGATGGCATTGAAGGAATGGAGACACTGGCTCGAGGGGGCTTCTCAACCGTTTCAAGTGCTTACGGACCACAAGAATCTGGAGTATATCCAGCAGGCGAAGCGGTTGAACGCCAGACAAGCTCGATGGTCTCTTTTCTTCAGCCGATTTCAGTTTATCCTCACCTATAGACCCGGGTCGAAGAATCTCAAACCGGACGCCTTGTCACGAATCTACTCTCCTGCCATTCGAGAAGATACTGACATGACTGTCCTTCCGGCCGCTAAGATCGTGGCTCCGATCTCGTGGCAAGTGGAGGATACCGTGAAACAAGCTCAAGCCATCGAACCGGGCCCTGGTGGAGGTCCTGCTAATCGGTTGTTTGTTCCCAAGGCAGCAAGGTCCCAAGTCCTTCGGTGGGGGCACTCCTCTCGCCTCACCTGTCACCCGGGCATAGGCCGCACCTTGGAGTTCATCCAGCGTAAGTTCTGGTGGCCCACCATGAAGGAAGACGTTGCCACTTTCATCAAGGCCTGTTCCGTGTGCTGCCAGGGCAAATCTTCTCACCTTCGCCCTCAAGGACTCCTTCACCCTCTATCTATTCCCCACCGACCCTGGTCCCATATCTCATTGGACTTTATTACTGGCCTTCCTCCGTCCCATGGTAATACTACGATCCTAGTCATCATCGACAGGTTTTCTAAGGCGGCCAGGTTTGTTCCTTTGACCAAATTACCTTCTGCCAAGGAAACAGCTGAGTTGGTGATTAACCATGTGTTCCGAGTCTTTGGGATCCCGCAAGATATGGTTTCCGACAGAGGTCCCCAGTTCGCCTCAAGGTTTTGGAAGGCCTTCTGCCAACTCATAGGGGCCACGGCCAGTTTATCTTCCGGGTACCATCCGGAGTCCAATGGCCAAACTGAGAGGATGAATCAGGAGCTGGAAACCACCCTCAGATGCATGGTTTCCAACAACCCGTCCACTTGGTCATCCTTCATTGTTTGGGCCGAGTACGCGCACAACACCTTGTGCTCCTCCTCCACTGGTATGTCCCCGCATGAGTGTCAGTTTGGCTATGCACCTCTATTGTTCCCGGACCAGGAGGCAGAAGTCAGAGTGCCTTCAGCCTCGAGGTTCATCAGACGCTGTCGGCTTACGTGGAAGAAGGCACGTCTTAATCTTCTGCGTTCCTCTCAGCAGTACCAACGACAAGCCAACAGAGGTCGCCGTCCCGGTCCTACCCTGTACCCCGGCCAGAGAGTATGGCTCTCAACTAAGAACCTACCGCTACGGGTGGAGTCTCGCAAGCTGTCCCAGAGGTTCATCGGTCCCTTTAAGATTGCCAGGAGAGTCAATCCCGTTACTTTTCGCCTGCACTTACCCAGATCCCTTAAGATCAATCCAACATTTCACATTTCTTTATTAAAACCTGTTGTTTTTTCTCCCCTTATTCCGGCAGGCAGACCTCCCCCTCCGCCCCGTGTCATCGGTGGCCAGTCGGCTTATACCGTCCACCGGATACTGGATTCCCGCCGGGTGCAGCGGTCCTGGCAGTATCTGGTGGACTGGGAAGGCTACGGTCCCGAGGAGCGCTCCTGGGTTCCTGCCAAGGACATACTGGACCCTGACCTCATTCGTCAGTTCAGGGCCCTCCACCCTGAGAAGGCTGGTAGGAATGTCAGGAGCCGTTCCTAGGAGGGGGATTCTGTCAGGTTTTGGCCATGACTGTTCGGGTTTTGGTCACTAGATGTCCCCATTGCACCTTTTTTGTACCTTTTTGTTTTTTCTTGATCTAATTATTGTTTGCACCTGTAGGTCATTCCCTTGTTAGTATTTAAACCCTGTGTGTTCCTCAGTTCCTTGCTCAGTGTTTGTAAGTTAGCACCCAGCCCCAGCCCAAGCCTTGTGTTATATGGATATTTCTCTGGTGGGATTTTTACCACTTTTTGGAGTTTCTTTGTTTTTTGGAGGTTTTCCTCTTTGTGCCTCTTGGCTTTATTTTTGGACATTGTGAATTTAGTTTCTTTGCCTGAGGATTTTGTTCTTTATTAAACCACCATCTCTAGTACTGCTGTGTCTGCCTCATCTTCTGGGTTCTGACAATTATTAGTGACTGTTTCTCGCACCGGGTCCTGACACCTGATTCTCCTAAATGAGGCTCCACCTATTATTTGAAATCAAAAGGAGAGGAATTAGACAAAGAGAGCAAGTATGTGAACAAGAGAGACAGTGGGAGAGAGCGAGACTGAATTCTGGATGCTGTTATGTAACATTGTGTGTTTTTTCAGTGTCAGGCAGAAGAGGTGTCAGACACAGAAGACACATGCTCAGCATCGACAGAGAGAGTTATATTTGTCCGTCCAGTAAAACGATAATCCTACATCATGTTGCCACATCCCTCTCTACACCCCTCAACTTTCTATACCCCTGGTATGCTGCCTGGCGGTGGGTTGGAGCTTGAGGCAAGCTTCTGTGTTTGCAAACAAGCAGCTTTTGCAGAATGCGGCTCTCTATTTTCAGACTGTACACAGTCCACTGGTACCAGCTACCTCTGGGTAACCATGGGGAATATAGGCAGGCTTAATGACTCTGATAGAAGTAAAATATCCTTTGGGTTACTGTACCTACGAGAGTGGCGTTGTCTTGGGTGGCTGTAACGGTGTTGACTGTGTGTGCAGGTGCAGGCGGAGACGTGGTCATCTGATTGGTCACAGCCATGTCATCTGTAACAAACTCTGATTGAAGCAGCCTGTCGCCGTCAATAAAAGCTGGTTTGGTTGGGGCCCCATTCGCTTGGTCTGGTGAGGTCTGTTTGGCAGGACCTGGCTCTGGCCCCTGATCCTCATCTTCATTGACCAATGGGATGACTGGGGATGCAGTGGACACGCCCTCATGCTGGAGGGCGCCTGGGGTGACAACAGGGGGCAAAACAGTGCTCTGACCTGCAAGAAAATAATGATGATGTCACTGTAGGAATAGGATGTCCTGGTGCTTCATTTTGTTGTGAATAGATGAAGTAGCTGGTAGACAGTACAAAAGCATGACTGGGAAATAAATAGGAAAGGAATCTCATTAGGCCTACAGCATGTGTTTCCAGGGTAACTGTGTGACATTCAGGGTCAGCTGATTAACAGAAGTGAACATTGTTCTGTAATTAATGGGAACAACACAATTTGGGATGAGTGACCTCTGGTCAGCATTATGTTCTACACATAATGGTGGATTTTAATATGTTGAGCAATTCTAAGAGTATTCATATTGGCCCATTATGTCAATAGAAACTTCCTTCACTATAATAAACTGATAATAACCCACACTGACAGGTAGTCCTAGTGTATAACCAATCAATAAACACTGCCAAATAAGATAGGTAACATTAGGCTACATCTAAATGTAACCTACATTATACAAATTGTCCTACTGTCATCAGAACATACTGCGATGATAAAGTAGGCTGAATGTGGAGCACAAAATAACTCTCTGCTCAGCGGGCTGTCTGTTCTAAACACATCACACACACCGTTGACACCTAGGCCTACCCTTTGTCTCTGATGAGCTGGTAAAGGTCACCAAGGCACAAAGCAATAGATTATTTTCAATTTTCATTTCATTTGCTGCTTTCCATGGATGATGAAACGTTCAACGGCCTTAACGCCAGTTCTCTTCTTCTTTGCTGGAGTGTGTTCTTTGCTGTTCTTTCCGTTAGATTACTTGACAGTGAACATCATTGCTAAAAATACATACAGGGGTCTGGAATTAGAGGAGAGAAGGGGTGGGGTTGATATGTGAAGCGCATTTCGCAATGTCACAACTCGGGTGCCACCAGTGTCAAATGTTTTGCAGAGGTCCGTCAGGACGATGTCTGTCGATGTAACTCAAAGCCCACAGTGTGTTCTGAATGTGTCACCGTCTCACCCCCTTCACGTTGAGGAGGAGCGCCGCCCCCAAGCTGTCACTGCACGCCGCATGCGCTCCGTGCGCCCTGGGTAAAACACTCATTTCTTGGCATTCCTTTATCGGAAATACTGATAGGCCATACACAGGTAGAGTTATAGATCTGTTTTAAAGATTCACTATGTTTATATGCTTATGAGAAAATTATTTAGACCTGACACATTTACATTTACATTTACGTCATTTAGCAGACGCTCTTATCCAGAGCGGCTTACAAATTGACACATGAGGTTGGTGGCATCTTAGTTGGAGAGGATGGGCTTGTGGTAATGGCTGGAGCGGAATTAGTGTAATGGTATCAAACACATCAAACAGGTGTTTGATGCCATTCCATTTGCTCCTTTCCGGCTATTATTATGAGCCGTCCTCCTCTCAGCTGCCTCCTGTGATAGACTGTTGGAAAGACCAACATTTCCTCTTAAACATTTCCTATTAGCCTAATCTACCAACAGAGGTCAGTGTTTCAACATGCACCTGTCATGCGCTGCTGGACCTTTTGGTATGTGGTCAGCACCATGATCAGCATGTGTCAATCACAACAGGACAATGAACGCTGAAGACCTTTTCCGACAACTAACTTTTGACCTGGAGTAGGCTAGCCTATTGCCAGGGGCCCCCTCTGTGTCATCAACAGCACTGACTGATAGAGGGAGAATTGTTAAAGCCCACGGTCGTCAAGCTCAACCACTCAATTATGTTACATGAAATAAAGATATAAAATGATTACTTATCAAAACTATCTTTTTTTTATTGCAGAATATATGCAATTTCTTAATTTTATGCATGCCATGTGGTCTCCTGTTCTTCACCACATGAGGAGCAGTGGCCATATTGAGCCAAAAAACTAAACCCGTCACACTCAACCCTGTTACTTGTTTGATCATAACAGGATTGTGAGACTGTGACATAGTTGAGTTTGTCACTTACTTTTTATTTATTTATTTATATATATACTACTGTTCAAAAGTTTGGGGTCACTTAGAAATGTCCTTGTTTTCGAAAGAAAAGCAATTTTTTTGTCCATTAAAATAACATCAACTTGATCAGAAATACAGTGTAGACATTGTTAATGTTGTAAATGGCTATTGTAGCTGGAAACGGCTGATTTTTAATGGAATATCTACATAGGCGTACAGAGGCCCATTATCAGCAACCATCAGTCCCGTGTTCCAATGGCACGTTGTGTTTGCTAATCCAAGTTTATCATTTTAAAAGGCTAATTGATCATTAAAAAACCATTTTGCAATTATGTTAACACAGCTGAAAACAGTTGTGCTGATTAAAGAACCAATAAAACTGGCCTTCTTGAGACTAGTTAAGTCTCCTGAGACTAGATAAAGTCCTGAGACTAGATAAAGTCTCCTGAGTGGCGCAGTGGTCTAAGGCACTGCATTGCAGTGCTAGCTGTGCCACTAGAGATCCTGGTTTGAATCCAGGATCTCTAGTGGGCGGCGCACAATTGGCCCAGCGTCGTCCAGGGTAGGGGAGGGAATGGCCGGCAGGGATGTAGCTCAGTTGGTAGAGCATGGCGTTTGCAATGCCAGGGTTGTGGGTTTGATTCCCACGGGGGGCCAGTATGAAAAATTAAAAAAAATTATGTATGCACTCACTAACTGTAAGTCGCTCTGGATAAGAGCGTCTGCTAAATGACTAAATGTAATGTAAATGTAGTTGAGTATCTGGAGCAGAAACAAATAACTTTCTTCTGAAACTCGTCAGTCTATTCTTGTTATGAGAAATGAAGGCTATTCCATGCGAGAAATTGCCAAGAAACTGAAGATCTCGTACAACGCTGTGTACTACTCCCTTCACAGAACAGCGCAAACTGGCTCTAACCAGAATAGAAAGAGGAGTGGGAGGCCGCGGTGCACAACTGAGCAAGAGGACAAATACATTAGAGTGTCTAATTTGAGAAACAGACGCCTCACAGGTCCTCAACTGGCAGCTTCATTAAATAGTACCCGCAAAACACCAGTCTCAACGTCAACAGTGAAGAGGCGACTCCGGGATGCTGACCGAGGCAGAGTTGCAAAGAAAAAGTCCAGTGTCTGTGTTCTTTTGCCCATCTTAATCTTTTCTTTTTATTGGCCAATCTGAGATATGGCTTTTTCTTTGCAACTCTGCAGATATTCCATAAAAAATCTGCTGTTTTCAGCTACAATAGCCACTTACAACATTAACAATGTCTACACTGTATTTCTGATCAATTCAATTTGATGTTATTTTAATGGACAAAAAAATTGCTTTTCTTGCGAAAACAAGGACATTTCGAAGTGACCCTAAACTTTTGAACGGTAGTGTATATACAGTGGGGAGAACAAGTATTTGATACACTGCCGATTTTGCAGGTTTTTCTACTTACAAAGCATGTAAAATCCAGAAAATATCATTGTATGATTTTTAAGTAATTCATTTGCATTTTATTGCATGACATAAGTATTTGATACATCAGAAAAGCAGAATTTAATATTTGGTACAGAAACCTTTGTTTGCAATTACAGAGATCATACGTTTCCTGTAGGTCTTGACCAGGTTTGCACACACTGCAGCAGGGATTTTGGCCCACTCCTCCATACAGACCTTCTCCAGATCCTTTAGGTTTCGGGGCTGTCGCTGGGCAATACGGACTTTCAGCTCCCTCCAAAGATTTTCTATTGGGTTCAGGTCTGGAGACTGGCTAGGCCACTCCAGGACCTTGAGATGCTTCTTACGGAGCCACTCCTTAGTTGCCCTGGCTGTGTGTTTCGGGTCATTGTCATGCTGGAAGACCCAGCCACGACCCATCTTCAATGCTCTTACTGAGGGAAGGAGGTTGTTGGCCAAGATCTCGCGATACATGGCCCCATCCATCCTCCCCTCAATACGGTGCAGTCGTCCTGTCCCCTTTGCAGAAAAGCATCCCCAAAGAATGATGTTTCCACCTCCATACTTCACGGTTGGGATGGTGTTCTTGGGGTTGTACTCATCCTTCTTCTTCCTCCAAATACGGCGAGTGGAGTTTAGACCAAAAAGCTCTATTTTTGTCTCATCAGACCACATGACCTTCTCCCATTCCCCCTCTGGATCATTCAGATGGTCATTGGCAAACTTCAGACGGGCCTGGACATGCGCTGGCTTGAGCAGGGGGACCTTGCGTGCGCTGCAGGATTTTTAATACATGACGGCGTAGTGTGTTACTAATGGTTTTCTTTGAGACTGTGGTCCCAGCTCTCTTCAGGTCATTAACCAGGTCCTGCCGTGTAGTTCTTGGCTGATCCCTCACCTTCCTCATGATCATTGATGCCCCACGAGGTGAGATCTTGCATGGAGCCCCAGACCGAAGGTGATTGACCGTCATCTTGAACTTCTTCCATTTTCTAATAATTGCGCCAACAGTTGTTGCCTTCTCACCAAGCTACTTGCCTATTGTCCTGTAGCCCATCCCAGCCTTATGCAGGTCTACAATTTTATCCCTGATGTCCTTACACAGCTCTCTGGTCTTGGCCATTGTGGAGAGGTTGGAGTCTGTTTGATTGAGTGTGTGGACAGGTGTTTTTTATACAGGTAATGAGTTCAAACAGGTGCAGTTAATACAGGTAATGAGTGGAGAACAGGAGGGCTTCTTAAAGAAAAACTAACAGGTCTGTGAGAGCCGGAATTCTTACTGGTTGGTAGGTGATCAAATACTTATGTCATGCAATAAAATGCAAATTAATTACTTAAAAATCATACAATGTGATTTTCTGGATTTTTGTTTTAGATTCCGTCTCTCACAGTTGAAGTGTACCTATGATAAAAATTACAGACCTCTACATGCTTTGTAAGTAGAAAAACCTGCAAAATCGGCAGTGTATCAAATACTTGTTCTCCCCACTGTATATATATAAACAATTTTTAGGGGTTAGATCTATCACACCCTGATCTGTTTCACCTGTCTTGTGCTTGTCTCCACCCCCCACCAGGTGTCTCCTATTTTCCCCATTATCCCTGTGTATTTATACCTGCGTTTTCTGTCTGTCTGTTGCCAGTTCGTCTTGTCTCGTCAAGTCGTGTTATTACATGTTTTTCCTTCTCTCTAGTTTGTGTTCTAGTCTTCCCGGTTCCGACCTGTTTTTGCCTGCCCTGACCCTGAGCCTGCCTGCCATTCTACACCTGCCTGACTCTTATTAGGATTACTGATCTCTGCCTGTACCGGACCTGCCGTTGCCTACTCCTTGTATATAATACATCTCTGAGACTCGAACCATCTGCCTCCTGTGTATGCATCTGGGTCTCATCCTGTGTCGTTATAGTATGAACTGGCCATGACTGACCCAGCAGACTCGGATCAGCTCCACAACGCTGTCTGCCTGCAAGGAGACACCATTGGAAGACCCAAGAAGCTACTTCAGAACTTTATGGAAGGACTCCATACCTTGGCGGAACGCCATGATCAGGGTTTCAACTCATTACTAGAGCAATTCCGCAGACTATCTATCAGGAAAGCCACAATGGAAACCTCCCGGACGCTCAGTAACCCCGCTACCAGTGGTGCTTTTCCCCAGCCTACCCCAGCTTCCCGAGAACCCCGCTTACCTCCTCCGGAGCGCTATGTTGGGGATCCTGGAACCTGATGGGCGTTTCTCTCCCAGTGCTCCCTCATCTTTCAGCTGCAGCCCTCTTAGATTCCTTCAGATCGTTCAAAGATAGCGTATCTCATAACGCTAATGTCTGGAAGGGCGCTCACCTTGGATTTCGTAGCGGAGGTGAGGAAGGTGTTCGATTCTCCGGTGTCCGGGAGAGAGGCGGCTCGGAAGCTACTTCAACTACTTCAAGACATCCGTAGTGTGGCAGACTATGCGGTAGACTTTGGCACGTTGGCCGCCGAGAGTGCCTGGAACCCGGAGTTCCTGGTCGACACCTTCCTTTATGGATTATCGGAGGAAATTAAAGATGAGCTCGCAGCTCGGGAGTTAACTCCGTCATAGCCTTGACCATAAGGATCGATGGGCGCCTACAGGAATGCAGGAGGGAGAGGAGGTCTGTTCTCGGACACACTCGCTCGTCCACGGTTTCTCCCTCGCCTCCGAAGAACCCCGGAAGTCCCCGACACCTGCATTCCCAAGAGAATCCGAACTCACCCGAGTTCCCTCGGGAATCATCGGGGACTGGCGACTCGTCTCCTCCAGAGCCCATGCAGCTGGGCAGGGCTAGATTGTCTCCTAATGAACGTTTACGCAGGCTGAGCTCCAATAGTTGCCTGTATTGTGGTACCTCAGGACATTATATATCCACATGTCCAGTAAAAGACCAGGCTCATCAGTAGGTACAAGTACGCTGGTGGGCCATACTGGGAGTCTCCAAACTCCCATTACTCGTACTCCTCTCCATGCTATCCTGCTGTGGGGTGACCGGTCTAAATCTCTCCGGGTGCTCATTGATTCTGGGGCTGACGAGAGCTTAGTGGACGCTACCCTGGTATCTGAGCTGGGTATCTCCACACAATTCCTCTCTATTCCCATGGACGTCAGAGCTTTGGACGGACGCTCCATTGGCAGGGTCATTCAC